TCAAGCTGAATCGCTAGTGGTCTCGGTTACAAGATCTTACCCTCAGGTAACAGACAAGAACTTTCCCTCAAGCTCAGGACATCTCCTCATAAAGAACTCCAAGTACTTCACAATTCTCCTCTTAAAAATTCTTCAAACACCTCCTCTTTTGATGCTATGTCTCAAAAAACACTTGTTAACTGATGCCCCCATGTTATGGTCATTGCTTATCTCCCTGATCAGCATCCTTTTCCAGTGTCTCAGACTGTGTTACCTGAGTCTTGGACTGCCTTCATTGTCTGTGCTTCTATCAGAACTAGTCCAACACAGTTCCAGTCTTACAGCTAAGGTTTTTTAAGTGTAAGTGACTACATATTCACACAGCCTGGAACAGGATGGGATATTTAACTGGTGATTTGCTTCTGTGTTGATTCAAGCTTTAAGGACTCTCTTCCATCTTAACTTTGAATGGACTTGTCACCCAGCTTTCATGCTACTGAGTGTTCTCATTGTTTACACCCCACAAGCGGGGCGGGGGTTCCACCTATATGGGCAAAGATTTGACTGAGAGGTTATAGCTCTCTAGAATGTCTGTTACAAGCAATGTTAGCCAAAGAAATAATGAAATGCCTTGAGAGTTCTGAGTCATTAATAAAATGTCTGTTCTGCAAAAGCAGAATGGATGACTAAGCTCAGGTGGGTGGAACACTTCAGAAACAACACAACAGCCAACCTCTTCCTAACAATATCCATGGAGGTCTGATCAGTGACAGCAATATGAAGCCAAGGCTGATCCCTTCTGGAACAAAAAACCTTCCTAGCACTTGTAAGTGCTGCCAGGATCAGCTTTTAAGTTTTTATTTCTTTTATTTCTTTGCTGGGAACAGTGGATTAGTGCTGCATATTCATGTTCTGTCAGTACCTGACATTCAGGTACAGTTGATCCTGCCTTGGACCATGAGCTGGATGCTTTCTCAAGATTCACTTTCCATTAATCCACAAGATCTATAGAGCAATTAAAGAAATAAACCTATCAGATGCTGACTGCATGTCTACTTGCTTAGAAGTCTTTGAGGTGCTGCAACTTAGAGCAAAACCACAACCTGAATACACAGCAACATGTTAAGATGTCCTTACATGCAGAATTTGCTTTGTTTTTGTTGTACTAGCATAAATTCATATGGTAAGATAATTAAGCTGATAAACTACAGCTTAATACATCCCTGTGCACCAGCTCAGACTAAGCAGCTGTTCTTGGCCACAGTTAACTCCACCAAGTGCAAGATGACAGCATTTAGCTTTAAACTATTTGCAAAGCAGATAAATACCAGTAACTTGCTATTTTCTTCAAGCTGAGAGCAGTGCACTTAGATGATGACTACAGCCCAGCTAGCTTATAGGAAGCTTGGGTGAGTTCTAAGCTATAGAGGAGAGAATCATATATACCAGTGCAACAGAGTCCTCAGACCTTACACTCTGAATCACTAAGAAAAAGAAATATATTCACTTTCTAGCAGAATCAGTTGGGTTCTGGCTCACCTAGCTGGAACAGAAGATGATGGAGTGGGTAAGATGACGATGATGTTGCTCCAGGAGCAGCAGCAGAAGTGCTTTCCTGCCTCAGTTTGTGGTCAGCTGAATTGCTGGTGAAGAACCAGGTGAGCTGCAATAGCTCACAGCTCTATATTCAAGAGCGTACTGAAAGCAATGCTTAGCCAGCCATGCACTTTGCCATAGTCTCAAGTTCCAACAACATGTGATACTCATTACTTTAATTTTCTAGGTAGTGATGGAACCTACCATGTTACACCTGATTTCAAGTCCACTTGTCGCACAGATGTCAGACAATGAGGGTCCTTGAATGTGCACAAATTTGCCCACACAGTTCAAGAAAGAAAGATCCTAGAAATATTACTCAGTGTTAGCAGCTTTTTCTCCCCACAAAACCATCCATGATTTCACAAAGTGGCATCCAACTGTTGATTGTGGACAAGGACAATAACCAGCTGTAAGGAACAGCCACACTTTAACAAAAGGGCACAAGGGTAACTAGAGACACAATTTGAAACATGGAGAACTCCACCTAGATAGCAGAAAAACATTTTTTTACTATGGAATTGAAAAACATACCATGCAAGTTGCCTGAAGACATTATGGACTTTCCATCCTTAGAGTTCTTTGGATTTGTCTGGACAAGACCCTGAGCAACCTGATCTAACTAGACCTGCTTTGAGCAGAGTTTTAGAGAGGATGGAAGCTGTAAGTTCCTTCCAACCTCAGTTATTCTGTGATTCTAGAAAACTAGTATTTAGTTTTCTATAGAAGTTTTCTTCTGAAGGGCTCAGTTCCCATCTGAGTGTACAGTCATTTTCTAGAAGTGAGTAAACTGAGCCCAGAGCCTTTCAGAGATGTGACCATAAGGTATCATGAAGAGAGATGCCAAGTTCCAGCATCTTTTCCTAATCCTGTCAAGTCTTTTTGTCTTGGTTTCAAACATAACAAGAGGAAGAATATAAAAATTAAATCCCTACTGGCTGTGTGGGAGACATTCCTCTTCAGAATGTTCTCTTCCAGAAAAAACATTGTTCACCCAAACAAAGGAAAAATTCCTAGTGAAGTGTAAAACAATTTAAATGCTAACCTTTATTTTACTTAAAAATCTTCCACATGGAAAAGAAAAAAATATTCTTGTTTAAATAAAGACAGCACACGTATTAGAGAACAGTGGCAATTCCAAGTAGGTTTGTCACAACAGGAGCACTAATATGATTTATATGAGACTCTGCAGTATAATCAGCAGTTGTAATACTACTGGAGTACTTGCATTTGAATAAGCATTTGTATGGGAGAAAAAAAACAAACAAACCTTCTTTTACTTACATTTGTGATCCCAGAAGTACTTTCCTGGATAGAATCTTTCCCATCTAGTAGGTGTGAGGGCTTTGTTTTTTCAGCTACTATGTATATATTAGTTTTTGGAATCAACACATGGGGGAAAAAGTCACCATTAATCTTCTTTGGTGTAAAGAAGTATATTGTTATATATCAGTGTTTGTAATTGAGATGATTTTAGGTGTATTTTTAAAGTGGTTTAGTTCCTTGGTTTTTAATTATGAAACCATACTAGACACAGTCTTACATATGCAAACTCCTGCTGTTTGAAACCGAACTCATTTGGAAAAGCATCTCTGAATGCTGTCATGGAATAAACATGCCATCTATTTTGCACACCAAGGCCAGGCAGCAGCAGTTTATTTCTGTAGTTACAAGAAATTGCAAAGCAATAGAGGTTCAGTTCTCTATTGGTGCGAACTCTGAATTAACAAAACAGGGCTTACATACACGTACAGCAGGTATGAACTCTTCTTTGAAATGGCCTGATATGACAGAGCAACATCTGCACAGAAGGACAGCTTGCTACAAGCAACTTTAATATGTATTCCTGATAATTGGGGACCTGTAGCTTGTCAGCCTTGGCTTGGTTCAGCTCATCCCTCTCTTCCTGACTAGCTTTTAGACCTTGCAAGAGTGTAAACACAGGTCTTCTTTTTTTTATTTTACTGTAGTTATAAAAGCTCATTTTAGACTAGGTCTTCATGAGAAACTCTTCCTGCCATTGCTGTACTGCTGAGGATTTGAAATGGGTCTAGTGAAACAGGTGAACACATGGTCATACCTACTAAATATCAGCAAAATGGTCTGCCAAAGGGGAAAATAGTTTTTCTTATTTGGTGACAGAGGCATTGACACCACAAAAAGCTGTACCTCTGCAAATTATCCCCTCCACTTGCTCAGATGACGGCAGGTTATGTTGAATAGGACTGACTTCAGACAAGACGCAGGAAGTTAATTCAAGCAACACCCAAGAAAGGCTGAAGCCAATCTGGCTAAATTTGCCTGACGTTACATGCAGCAGAGAACAGGGTATGCAAGTATTTCACAGAATAGAGACAGCTTCAGGGACCGACGTCTCTGATTCCAGTGTTTTCATCTTGTGCTGCTGGCAGAGCCGGAAGGAACTGCAACCCCACGAGGGGGCTCTGCCAGCGCAGGCATCGACAGCATCCATCCTTCCAGCGAGCAACTCCCTACTAATGCCCCTCACATCCTGCAGGTAGACAAGGCTTTTAGTAGGGAGCACTGCCTTTGTGAGAAGCAGCCTTAAACATAAATATACCTGAATTGATGTGACATGAAAGCATCTCTCATGTGTCAGGGTCTCTAAAGCAGTTTAAATTCCAGGGTGTTAAACTGGTACAGTTGTGTGTATAAACAGGATATCTAGAAAAGTAGTTTCCTCTGGGCTGCTTCCAGCAGAAGCAGCAAATATAGGGAGCACAACTGATAGCTGCCATATGATCTAACTGTGCATGGAACATGTAGAAATAAATGGTAACAAGGAAATTATTTGGACACCTTGTTCCTAGTAGGTGTCCCCAGACAAAGACTCCTGTACCAGCAATAGTTTAAGAAAGCCTATTATAGATAAGGTTTTTTTAGATCAATCAAGTAGGGAAAATGCTACTATATATGAGCAAAATAGCTTCCTCCTATGCAGAACTGAACACAGTGAAGGGGAACACAGTAAATAGCACACACTGATCAAGATAAAACAGCTGAGTTTGACCTTTTATATATTTTAATACAACCTCCTTTAAAATTCTGAAGTGAAAATAGCTGTGTAATGGTAATCATGAAAGTATAAGGAAAATATACATTCAAGTAAAGATTTATCCCTACAATGCCTAAGCATAATCAGGTGATGAAGGTCATTTAAATGCCTTTATACATGTCCCCTGGAACAACTGCCTGGTCTCATTGATAATAGCACCTGTCAAATGCACAGTGCTTGACTGCTTAATGCTATTGGTAAACTACCAGCACTAAAAGAAATGCAGGTGTGAACAGCCAGAACAGCAATGACATAGGAAGACAATACACAGAAACAGCAGCGACAACTTCAGCAGGCTGCTGCTTACAAGTTGGCAGCAGGGATGTGCTCCTTCCTAGTGGCACTGGGCTCACATGACTACCATGATGTCCTCCAGTGGCTTTCGGGTCAGCGCAGGCACAGTAGCATCTTTCTTGGGATAGCCAACAGGGAGCAACAAGAGTAGCTTCTCGTTTGCCGGGCGCTGGAGCAGCACCCGGAGTTGGGGACCACAGTTGAGGGGTGTGGAGGTCACTGTGTACAGACCCACGTTCTGCAGCAAGACAGACAGCAATAGAATGAGACAGACGTCTGTGCTCTGTATTTGTATCCATTATTTCCTACAGGACCTTTACACATTCTCCTATTGACTAGCCCAGAAATGCTGCTCTGTTAGACTCTGCTGCAGGCTTTAGAACATCTGATTTACTAATAGCCTCAACAGTACCATAAGAAGATGTCTGCTTTGCTTATAGAGAAGTACAGCAATGGCACATTCTGCCTGAAATGTCTGTGTGCTTTACAGCAGGCGCCTGCCTGCAGTGCTCACTGTCATGGGGGGCCCATGGCTACAGGCTTTGAGGTATAAAAGTCAGCCTGGAAGAAGTGCTTCTCATGTTAACTAATCTCTATGATCTTCTGAAGAGAAGAGATAATAGTGGTGGTGCTGAATATCATGAGTCCATGGCACTATGTCCTTTCACAGAATCACAGAGCTGTTAGATTTGGAAGTGGCCTCTGGAGATCACCTAGTCCAACCCCCAAAATGAGTTTACAGTTTACCACACCAAACTCTGTGATGTATTCTCAAACTTTAATTTAGAAAATGAGTCTGCACACAGAGGCACTTGACAATCTACTGCCTTGGAAATAATTCTTTTTTTACTGGCACTCTGCTAAATTTGTTATACATCTGCCTGGTACTAGAAGTCTTAAGGATCCGTTTGTTTCCCTGGCAGATACATGATTCTACTTTCACTACACTAGTGGTGTCAATTAATTTCTAGGAGTTGGGAAAGAGGCAGCACTAAGGAGCCTACCAGTTCGTAGGGAGCCTCAGAAATCCCACCTGATAGTGGGCTGTCTCACCTTGTCAGTCCTACTGCTTCTGACTAAGGCACTAGTGACATAGTGTTAGTTCTGCCCCATTCCTTGTGCACTCCCTTTGCTCCCAGCTCCATGGAGGGACAATACAGGGCACTGTGCAGCTGCGGAGCAGCAACATCCCAGCAGTGTGCTTCTGCACTTCTCACTTCTCAGATTTCTCTTATCTGAAGATCCCCGCAAGGAGCAGCAATTCGGGAAGGGAAGTGTCACTCAAAACAGAATGGAGGAGAAATGGCAGTTCCTGTCAGGAAATAGGTCTGACATAAGACGTGACACCTTGCTGTTATCCTGCTGACAGGCCAAGTTAACTATCGGAATAGCTTCACTATTTAAACACTTGTGTGAGTACATCAGATACAACACGTGAAACTGAGCACAGAAAAACCACTGAGAAAATCCACTGACTGGTGTCAAACATGCTGAGCTTTAGAAATCAATTCACTTTTGGAAATGCCTCAGAAAGACTGATTGAAATAGTATAGCTGCTTCTGTGAAATATGTCCCTGATTTTTTTTCAGCACTGTGCACTGAAAATTATTTGGGGTCAAGCCATTTTTTAGGGATTACTGAAAAGAAGGGGACAGTGTGGCACTGCACAGCTGTGCTAGAGTAGTCTGCAGACCCTGTCAGCCCTGTTAGCACAAGACAGAAACCACAGGAGCTAAAGCTTGTTCCAGGAGTGGAATGACAACTCTGGAAACAAGCTGCGTTATGTTTTTCTTCCTGTTAACCAGAGGATAGGAACCACCTTCTCAGACATAGACGTGTGCAGAATAACTTCAAAACTCAAAACTAAGATGTAGTGTCAGGAATTGGAGTAATCCAGAAGATTGATAATGTTAAAATTTAAATTGGGTTCCACCCTCGTTTGGGCAGAATAACCTTGTTATGTAATCCAAACCAATATATTGACTCCTAGTATGTCTGTTCTGTCAGCATACCTGCAGTGCAGCAAGAAGGATACCACAGGCAATAGAGACACTGATTTCATTGTAGTAGTGAGTCTTCTTTTTGCCATTGGGAAGCAACCCATACACCTGCTTGAAAATGAGGATCAGATATGGAGCAGTGTCCAAGTACTCTTTGATCCAGTTTGTCCTGCAAAAGAATAATGTTTAAGACATTTATTTTGCAACCTTTTCACTTTGCTGTAAGTCACATTTACTGTCTGCAAAGGGACACTAAAGGCACAGGACAATTATAGCAGTAGACTAAAGCTTAGAACACTTATTGCAGAAGATAAAGTATTATCATCTTAAATAGAAACATTTCTGACCAAAAAAAATAATCTTAAACAAAGTTCTCAATTTTAACAGATCCAGCTGAGGAGTTGACGTTGCTCACTCTGAAGAGTGGAACTGCATAAAAACAGAAGGTAGGCCTTGACTTCTTATTTATGAACTGGCCTCATGAGCATTTGTCCTTGAAATTGTTTAATTCCTGGAATTTTGCAGATTTGCAGGTCCACCTGTTACCAGCAGTGCCAACATTTTCATGATTGCAGGGAAAACTGCTGGCAGAAAAGTTCAAAACTTCTTGGTCTAAGGTGTAAACCTAAATATAGTCTCAAGCTTTAAGCACATGCTTCATTTGACAAGCCAAGGCTCAGTAGACATCTTCCCATTGTGTAAAATTAAGCAAGTCAGTCAGACTTTGGAACAATGAAATATTGCGTAATTCAGCACTTGTATAGGGGCAAGTTGTGGGACTACCTCAGTTGGCAGCAAAGATCCCAACAACTTAGGAAGCTTCATTTTAAGGTGAACAACAGGAAAAAACTGAGACAGGCATTGTGGCAGCAGAGGTTACATAGGAAAAAAAAAAATAACAAAGAAGCCAAATGCTTGGAAAAGTTTCAAGCTGGAGAGCGTATAATCCCTTTTACTGGAGGCAATTTTATGTACCAGCCACCAAGGCAGGATTCTACATGTATTTTTAAGTTTTTCTTTCCCAGCATGAACCTTAGAAATAGATTAAAAGCGAGAGGGAGAAAGAAATGGAAAAGGATACTAGAAGAATTCAAGACAAGCTTCTTTTATCACTTTATCACAAGTGAAGGTTTCAAAAAGTAAGCTGGATATTTTTCAGGTTTCTTTTTTTTTTTTTCTCCCCTTCCTGAAATTAAGGGGTGGCTGGCGGAGCTGGAGCCTGCCTGAAACTTCCCAATATAGTTTTTCCTAGACTAAAACACAGCTCCCTTCAAACCACTTAGCCCACTGAGTTTTCCATACCTCAGTCTTTTCAGGTCATTAACCCATCTGTCTCCCATCCTTTTTTTGTAGTTGATTTCTTCTTCTTCTTCTACAATTTCACGAATCTTATGCTTTAAATATGGATCTTGCACTACCACAAAGGTCCAGGGCTCAGTGTGTGCTCCACTGGGTGAAGTACCTTCATACAAAAACAGGGAAAGATGAAAACCCAGGGAAGGGTGTGCAGAGAGAGATACCAGCTCTTCCTTGCGGGCTTTCAGGCTGACCGACAGAGCAATGGAAAAGCAAGTGGATGAGACAGGGAAAAAAGGACTGAGATAAATTTTGGCAGACAATCCTGTTCATTTCTTTCTCAAAGACTGTGAAGTGTCATTGAACGACAGAGGTTGGTATTTTCTTACAGCCATCTTACAGGAAACCAAAGTCAGGGATGTGTAAAAACTCCTTCGTGGTTGTTGTGATGAGGTAGCATTATGGTGCAATATATACACACAGTAATGTTATTGAAAAGCATTATAACAAAAGCAAGACACTGTCTAAATATGCACCCAAACTTTGAGACACAGCTTTAGCTGAAGGGCAAAGCTAATGGCTTTCAGGTAAACAAGGCTAAGTGACCACCCCAGGAATCTGTCGCTGACTGACAAAGATGAGGAGCTGCACAACACTGACATCTGCCATAAAGCATACAGGTTTGAGTTCGTTGTCCCAGAGACAGCTGGTGTATGTAGGTGTGCACATATTAAATCTGCACTTGCTCATTCAGCCCTGATTATTACACCCCAGCACCACTGGAGTATATTTTAACAGCCTAGAGGATGAAAGCCAGAAGCTGAAGGGTACAGATATCTCTGCAGGCTGACAGATAAGGAAACTATTTAGATCTCTCTAGCCCCTGATATACATTTCAAAAATATTTTTGAAAGGTCTTGAACACATACAGTATTTGCTTACCTAAGCACTGATTTCAGTTTGAGAAACACTGAATGAGCAGCTTGAACTATCTTTTATATTAAAATGTATTTATATTGTGAACCTTGCCTCTTCTCAGGTTTGGCTAAGAACTGATGACGTTTGTGCTTTGCTTTGTTTTCTTTTTCCTTACACAGCCCAAAGCTTTCAGGGTTACTAAGTACTTCATCTGCACTCTAGGCTTGTTCGCTTTGCTGCATTTGCCAAAACATGCTCAGTGTTTTAATGACTTCCAGCTAATCAGAGGAAGATGGAGACTTGTTACAGTGCAGTAACAAAGCTGCTTCCAGTTTTTAATGGGAAAACAATGTACCTCAAATGCTAAGAATGTCTGTATTATTAATCCTGCTAGAGGCTACTGAACTTTTCTCTAAAATTTTCTATGTGAGTTTCTCTAATATTTTTTATATTAGCAGTAGCTGATTCATAGAATAAGAGAAATAACAAGGGTCAAAACCACTCCTGGGTGAAGTCAATGTTACTAGATCAGAGATGAGATTAGTCCAGGATGTGACAGTAATGATTTGAAACACATAAATTCTAAAAAAAAAAATAATTTATTTCTGACATTCAGTTAAATAACCTCCATCAGCTTCCTCATCATAACACTCCAACTATATGCAGTAGGGGCCTGGAACTGATTTGAAAGGACTGGAAAAGTTTTTTGTTCTGGACTGAAACTTCTTTCCCATAATAAACCCTAATCATTTATGTCAACTATTTATGGCTGAGACAATTTCATTGATTTGTTTGGAAAAAAACCAAATCAAACAAGAAACAAAGCCCATACATGACAAATATCACCAAAATACATGAAATTTTAAAGCATGTGAAGTACACATGGTTTGACATTTCTGAGAAAACACACTTCAATATTTCTGTTTGAAAGATGTCTCACTAAACTGTACATCGATTTTATGCTAAATAACATCTTTCAAAGCTTGAAAATGTTTTGTTTCATATGTAGAAATGTTCTTTTTCCCTTTTGCACTGCAGATACAAAGGAACTGAGAATGCTCCAAATCAACCCATGACACATAGATATTGAAGCAGAGTAATTTCCAATTAATCAATGGGTGCTCATGCATTATAGCTACAGGTGAAACTAGGAAAACCATAAGCCAAATGCCAATTCCCTTGGCCTTTCCACATCACTTTTACACCATTGAACAGCATTGCTGATCCTTCTTTTTCACACCTTGAACCACTTGGTACCATACCTGCTGTTCTGATGACATTATCGATAACCTCCCTGGGGACCGGCTCATCACTAAGAAACCTGACAGACCGCCTCTTATTAAGAAGCTCATAAAACATCTTCGACCTTTTAATCATTTCAGCCTCAGTGTAGTGCTCCACAGAGAAGGGGACATGGGCAACATTTTCCTCAAGTCCTTGCCACTCTCCATCCATCTCTGCAAGAAAGTAAAAGTGGTTAGGAATTTTTTTGTTTTCCTCTGGAGAACACTATTTATACCTTTGGCATTCACCACCATAATGCACTTTGGCCTGCACTGGCATACATTCCACTTCTACACCACTGGAAAGACAACGTTTGAGGTTCCACTTGACACAACTCATTGATCCTTAGCTCCAGCTACTGAATAAACACCTTGTTTAAATACCAAGAGGCAAGAGGGTCCTGGCTGGCTGTAGCAAGTGTGATCCACAAAGAAGATATAGCCATCTCCACTTCAGTCTGCAAGCCTGCCTGTAAAAATGGGTTACAAGCTGAAACAGTGGTAAAAAGGTGGCCAAACCTTCAGCCCTCTTTTCTCAGTAAGTAAATGTGAACATGTGTGTCCCTTTCTGAGCAGTCTAATAAGAAAAAAAATAATTAAATTATTGAAATTAAAAAGAGGACTTAACAATCAATATATGTAAAATCTCTGAAGAGCTGAATGTCAGCTTCTTCCATATGCATGTTTCATAGCAGAAGCATTACAAGCTTAGGCTCTGCAAATGTGACTTTGTGGTTAAGTTCTTTGGTTTCATGATACTTTCAACATAAGAGGAAACGGATGACAGGCATCTATACTTAGGATAACAACGTATCAAATGTAGGGTATTGTGTTTCTTGCCTTTCATTTAAGAACTCAAAATGGTTCCTCATTTCACTGAAAACTGTCTCTTTGGGGGGTTTTTTAATTCCACTTCTGTTGCCTTTGAGAGCTCCTCTTTCTCCCCTGCATTCCTAGAATCAGCAGGGATAGCATTTTTTGCAACTATGATGTGGAAGTTAAAGCCATTTCAATTTTGCATTTTGACTAGTCAATAGTATTGAGCAATCTGCTACAGAGGGCTGAGTCAGGAAAAATATTCCAGTTCTTTTTCAGTCACCATTAGGCTCTTACTCTGGAATCATAGCAATCTCCAGCGCAAATTCAAACAGTAATTATTTCTGTGTTTTAGTAGCATGTAGTTGCCTTAGAGACCAAGCTGATTTTTTGTTCATTTTATAAACAGCAGTGAAATATTCACAAGTGTGGCTCAGCATGTGCAAGAGACTGCAACATACCCAGTGTCATATCTTGAATCTAAACAGAATTATTCTGGTCCCCAAATAACATACATTGCATTTTGCGTACAAAGAAGTCACCCAGAAAATTTGTTTTGTTTAACATTTCATGCCTGCATTAAGCACTCTCAGTCACAGTCTGCAAGAACCTGGCTCCAGGGTAATGGGAAGCAGTGACCCATTGTAAAGATTATTTTTGTGGCCATCTTGCACGCTCAAACTGACAAAGGAAAAGGATGCCTCTTCCTAGTGTTCCTTTTGTGGTTTGGACTTAGTAAAGTAGGTTATTTACTATTCAATGGCAAATGGCTAAGACTTGCCCCTCTGCTGGATTCTGGTGATAATTCTCTTCCAGAAACTTTCACACTTGCTTTTGCTCTTCCTCCTCCACAGTCACTGAAGGGAATACCTTGGGGGTAAAAGGCTATGTTTACAGTAGCAAGTGTTGTGGTGTAATAGGATGCCAAGAGGAAGAGCTGCTTCTGGGGACCCAGTGTTCAACATCCTACATGTTTTGGAGTGGTAGGGAAGGCAGGGAGGTGTTTAGAACTCTGCATCTTTTCCACCTCTTCCATGCTATGCATGTTACTATAGGATGCCATTTTCAAGGACCGCTACATTGAGCTGGCAAAAGCCAATAAGCAAAACTTTCCACAAACAGAAGTCAAGACAGTGATGGCTGGCAGCCAAAAGAGTTCAGAGAAAAAATGATGACCCAAAAAAGTATAAAACTGTAAAGGAAAAAACAGGGACTTGGGAGATGGCAACTCATCAGCCCTTTCTGACTTGACCGAGAACTGTCTGGCCAGTAGAGAAATTCAGGTGTTCATTGACACAGACAAGATGGAAAATAAGCAAGCTTTGGGACATAGCCTCTCCTGCAATCTCCTCTCAAAGGACTTCCAGGCCTGAAAGCTGGATGGCCTCCTGCAACTGTCTTCATTGGTCCAACAAAATTCATTCTCCCTTCCAAAACCATCTTGTATAGCAGTACTGAAACTACAGCAAAGATATTCATTGCTGAACTGAACTGAGATTTAACAGTTACACAGAATGACACACATGTTAATTTTATCCATATGCACTCATATGGGAGGAATATTTTCCTTAAGACTACAAAAAAACTTCCTGAAATTAGCTGAAGTTGGGTATTGTCTGTTGGAAGGCAGAACCTGACCAAAAAACTATCCTGAAAGTAGGTACTGGATTAGTGTCTTGGTGAAAAATTCAGGTCAGACTAATCTATTTGTGCTTATATCAATGTGCTGTGATGATCATCCCTACCTATTTCACAAGTTTACAATGTTGAGCATCTTGGGAAATGGACTAGAAACAGTCAATTAAAATGCACTTCAAGACTCAAGAGTTTTTATGTGCTCTCACTATTTACTTTCTTGTGATGAGGTTTTTATCAAAAAGAAGAAAATAACATACATTCAGTGCACTGTAGCTTTTATCCAACCACTGATGGAGGTGACTTGGAGGTCTAACCTTGGCTTCTTAGCAAATCCAAGCCCTGCTTGGTCATCTCTTTCTCTAGTATTACTGCAAAACTATCAACAATCATTTTGAGTTAGAAGATTAGCCTATAAAATACTGAAAATCTTTACAAAGGAGATTTGTCAAATCACAACAAAGGCTGGGGGAAATTTTGTGATCTCTGTACCTGGTTTTGAAACACAAGGAGAGGAAAGTCAAGTAGGTGATAAACCATCAATACATACATGAATGCTGACAAACAGAAGGAGGAAGTACAAGATTAAATTACTTATATGGATGAGAACAGTAGTCAGAGAACTCACTCAGATGATGTACTTAATCGAAAGAGTATGTTGCCTGTGGCCAGTTCAGTGTCGGGGTCTAGACAGCACACTGGACGAGCTATCAGTGCCTATAGAGGACAAAAAGTAACAGCGAGGGAAGAATGAAGATGCAATAACAGCACCAGTACCTGCTTTGACTTGTGCAGGAAGCATATCAATAAAAAAATAGGTAATAATTGATGTTGTGGTAGATTGTAAAGAAAGAAAAAGTAGCATGTATGAAAAAGGGTTGGTTTTTGAGATACAGCCTTCTGTGATAGTGCGAAACCTACAGAGGCCCCCAAGGTCACATCTAGACAGGACACACCTTTAACAGACACATATTGCCTCAACCACATCATTTTTATGAAGTATCTGGCAGAAGCATAATTTTCTAGGTACAGATCAAAGAGGAAATATTATGGTATTACTAGAAACCAGGCTTCCCAACTGAAGCATCCAATACCTTAATCAAACAACTTGTTCTTCTCTTGGTGCGGCGACTCTCTTCACTTTGGTTTCAGTGAGAGGCGAGGACGTTACCAAAAATAAAAAAAGGTACCACTAAACTGAGATTATCAGTTCATTCGATTTAATAGACAAAATCAAGGCTGAGGAAAGGTAGGTACATAACTGTCTCTCTCAATTTTTAATGGAACAAACTTGGGGAAAATCAGGGATTATGAAAAATTAAGTTGGAGAACTTAGACTGAAGAATTCAGGCATCAGGAAGCAGAGAGATTTGGCATTTCTTTAAATCAAGAGGTGTAAAAATCATCTTAGATGTAATTGGCTGAATAAACATCTCACTTAAATGATCTGTAGGCGACTAGGAATGTAAGAAAAAGATTAGTTAGCACAGAAACCTACACCTTGTAAGAGAGGAAGTATAAAACTTGCAGTATTACCCAAGGTCAAGCCAAGTTAAATTTTGAGAGGTTTGTTTGCTTGTTTTGCATCGTTTGGGTTTGGAGTTTTTTTCCCGCATCATGTAAAAAGAAGAGGTGAAAAGTGAAACTGCTGTGTGGTGAGGATGGTTCAGCTTAACAACATGGTGAAAAAAGAAATCTCCTTTCAAAGATTCTGAACATGGGACAAAGCTGAGGTAACTAGTGAGAAGGAGTGTGAGGATCACTATACCTAAGCTTAAGTTTTGTGAGTAAAACTTAAAAACCTTAATGCAGTCAAAAGTGAGAATATTGGCTGAGGCAGGAGAACCCAGAAGTGAGAGAACTGACACACAAACCCAGACTCTCCTGGCAATTTTTATTTTTTTTAAATAAATTCATCTATTATTTATTCTCTAACAACGTGTGTCTACCATTCACTCTTAGCAGTTAACATTATCCATATGCTAAGCTAAAATCATTATCAGCACCATCTGTTTAGTGCATGTTCTCTATATCTTTAATTGCTGTGTTTAGACATATTCCTGTTTGTATGGTCACATTATACAATACTACAAATGTCTTGTTTACATCACTTGTATTGCATCATTTGATGGACAAGAGACACCCTGCTAGTGAGTCTATTATTTTCTAATATTCTAAAGATTGCCATGAATCCTGTTGTACATATACAATAGTCACCAGGCTTCCTGCTTTTTAAGCAAATCTGAAAAGGTTTTGGCTCAGGCATCCCAAGTGAAATCTCACTTTAAAAGTATTTTTTCTCTCACTCTATCAGAAATTCCTCTCTCGATACATTTGAGGATCATGTTTGTGTTCTCAGCTGTTCATATGGGAAGTTATAATGAGCCTACAAATGATGTAATAATTTTGCCTCACTTTGTAGCAAAAATTCTTATCATGAGTATCTAATAACATACACTGAGAACAATGACTTGTCATTTCATTTCTGTTAGCCACTTATTTATTATACTGACACTTCCCTTCTTTGTTGTTGGCTCCCAGTTGTAAATCATTAAGAAGTTTCACTTGTACACTTCTTGGGTTTATGAAAAGACCACTTGATAGTATTATCAATTGGTCCTGAGCCTGGTCTTCGAGAAACCTCACTTGAAACCTCAGTCTAGACCAATGTGTTTGCTTTCCAAACCAACTCTTCCAGTATCTTCTCTAAGGAATAGCTTCCTAAGGATAGAATTCCTCTCCAATCTTCTTTTCCAGTGTAAAGATATGATGAACAGAAATACAACTAAATGCACATAAAGCCAGCTTTCAGTTCTTTGGACTTAAGATGCTGGGCAACTGATCTTGTGTTTTATTGCTTGATTAATGGCAGACTGCTACATAATCTGCCACTACATGAATCCCAGTCGTGAATCCAATCCTAAGCTGAGTGTGCGGCTAAAAGAGATGGAGTGCCTTACTAGTGGGTTATAAATAGTGGTTACCAGGCTGATCATGGAAACCTTAAGAGTTGATCAGGGATCTTAAGAAAAAGAAGTATCAAGAGGCAGACCCTGGAAGAAAGAAGCCAGCACCAAAATATGGTGAAAATTACCTCAAACTGGAATATAGTTGCAGAAAGTTTTTTAAGATATTCAGAGGAATGGAGTGGCTGTTTTATAAAGAGGAGATTTGCTGGTTTATGTAGTAAAAGGAAAGCTGAGAGGTAATCTGTTTGCTGTCTATGAACCACAGAAGAGCATACACCAGGGCTGGAAAAGGATCCTTTAAACAAGAGGATGGAACAGGAAAATTAGTATAAAGCAGTATTAAATAAGTTTGGGTGGGCAGGCAGGCAAAGGAGGTTTTTTAACCCATAGCACAAAGTTCTGGAATAGCTTCTTGCAAGGCTAAAGAAATGGGGTCAAAAATGGCCAGTTTTCATCTTCATTCAGCTGATGGCAAAGGCTGGAGGTGTCTGCAGCAGCAGGGAGATAAACACAGTAGTGCATCATCTTCACGTAAGTCCCGTGTTCCTAAATTACACAAAGCATGAAGTGTCATCAAATTGGAAAATTCAATGCTACTGCCTCATTTATGTCAGTAGTAGTATTAAAAGATATGGGAAGCCTTTGAACTTTAAGTGAGAGAGGTCTATTCTAAGAAGTATCACAAGCAATAAGCAGTGCATTTTCAGAGGAGATGGAATATTTGGGCCTTTGTACATTGCTTTCTAGTCCTTGAGTGCATCACCAAAGTCCCCACATCTAAATACACAACAGTAAAATGCCTTTGCTATTAATCTTTGTAACTGATCCCCAGAGTAACAAGGATACAAATAAAATTCAACCTCATCCTCCGACCACTGTAAACTAAGTCTGTATTTACCTTGTCAGTTGTATTGATCTGAATATAAGACCAAGAAAGCGACCAATATACAATAAGCTCCCTCAGCTAAAGACTGAACTTGTCTTTGCAACAATCCAGATCTAATTGTGTAAACCTGAAGCAGGGAGATGAGGCATCACTACTTTGGAATCTGATGCCCACCACTAGAAGACAACCCTTGTGATTCATTGTTCAAGACGAGGCTGAAGAAAAGTCTTTTTCATCTGTATCTAATTGATAACCACACATGGTCTAATGCAAGGCACAGCCAGGTATACACACATACAGCCCATTCTTGACAATCCACAGCACAACAATCTCTCATTCTGGATCTCATAAATGGAGGAAAAAGTTACAGGACAGATAGGTATGCAAACAAATCTGAAGTACTGCCAGTTAAGGCATTAAACAAATGCACTGAGTGAGTGCTTTCCACTTAACCAAAGAACTGTGTTTCTGGCTGCTCTGGAAAACATCCATCTCTTCAGCTACTAAAACAATAACACAGACAAGCTTGGGAGCACTTGGCCCTCCCCCTACAACCTTTCACTCTTAATAAGTGACTCTACTGAGTCTGCCCAAGCAGTTCACCTAGTCACATTGAATGCTTTGCTGCTCAAAGGTATGCCCCTCTCAGGGGAACATCCCTGCTGGTGCCACTTCAGGGAATGTTCACAGGGCTGATGTTGCCTGAGCAAGTTCAGTGTTTTACTTACAGACCACTTCACTCTCTTGGCAAAACACCCTCACCTTGGTCATGGAAACTTGGTCTTCAGCCATCCGTTTCTGTCAGGGGGCTGTTCAAAATTCAACTCGTTTACCTACAGCAGCCCTAGATTCTAGCTTTAGACAAGACCTTAAAAATGTTTGATCTCACCTAACTCAAATGCTCTTCAAAGGAACTTTATCTTTAAACACAAGTCAGCTTGAGACATTTAAGTGAAAATGAGCTTTTCTGATAAAGATACATTAGTACAGTAGCAGAATTTACATAGCAAATAAAATACTCTTTATTATTAAGAAAATCTCTGTTTAAATTCATATTTCTGTTTCAGCATCTAGTGCAGTCAGTGAAAATTTTAACAGTGACAATATGAATATGTTTTGATCCTTAATTATAGCATTAGCAGAGTAGCAGATCCTTACCATAGTCTCTTCTCACTTAGGCTGGGCTTTCCACTGTTGAAGAAAAACTTCCCTAAGCATGATGCAATTATTTTAATTTTTCTCGAAATAAAAGACATGCCTATTTTGCAAAGATGTTGGTTTGAATGACATGCCATTAAGGGAAAGATAATTTTTTTGTTGTTAAAAACAACATAGCAAAAAAATCTGATTTCATTGGATGACATGGTAACTTGAGAGAAGTTTTATTTAAAAATAAATCATTCTCCTTTTAGCAACAGCAAACTAGTACAGTTTTGAATTCAGCTCCTGAATAAAAGGGAAAACAACTAAGACATAGAAGAATAATACTTTATATATGGAGCTCTGGCAGTGAGACTCCTTATTAAGAGCAAATAGGTTTGTTTATTTAGAGGATCTAAATTTTTTAATTGATAGAAACAGCTGTAGTCAAAGATGTATGTCAGTAATAATTCATAGATTATAACTTGAATTATCCACAGGAATTTTAGTTTGTGGCAGTTTAAACGAATGAGTAAGCTTTTAGTGACAAAAGAAATATGGGATAATTTTATAGAGAACCTATTTCACATTGAACAAAGAAGGATACAGCATATGAATGGATTTTTAAAGATATTTTGTATACTTGGGAAATAGTCTACATGGTTTAAAATGTTCCAAGTATCAATTATGTCTGGAAATCGATAGAGAACATCATTAACTCAAAGTTCACAGAACACTGAGAAATAAAGAGAAACAACAGTTTTTAGAAATAGGTCTATGTGCAGAAAAACAATGTAAGTTTCAAGATTTCTAGAGGCAGACAGAGAATGTGTCATTATGGGACAAAAAACACACAAAAAGCCTTTGAAACTAGCTTTAGAAGAAGAAAAAAAAAGACCAAAACCACCACCTGCATTAACTGCAAGTTAAAAATCTACAAAGCTCTGTTCCTATGAAGTTCGTAATTTCATAAGGCAATAAAGGGAACTTATGGAGGATAGTCAGGGAGCAAAAAGAAGGAAGGACACATTTTGTGTTCAGACCTTTGTCCAAGCTGTGCATCAGAAATCACTACTGAAAAAAAGAGGCATTCTGTACAGGTTCAAATATGCAGTTTGGTGAACAGATTAGCACCATCACCATATTTTGTTCTTAAATATTTGATCAACACAGCTCCCAAGTGATCCCCCTACTAACCCAGCTAAAGCTCTCATGGACATTCTCAGCTCTCACAAATGAAAGACTTTTGTAAGAACTGTAAGAAACCCATTTCCGACTTTTCTGGGGGTGCTGAGACCAAATATGTAGCGCTGGATGGTAAAGTGGGATGAAACTACAAAATCAGCTTGCAGATAGAAACTCTCTGCTCAGGTCTACCCTTTGCTCACACTAATGAGTCCTGGGAAAAAGCTGGGGGGACTTCAGCAATATCTCCTTTCTTTTCCTAGTTGTCCTTCATATACCCCATATCTGCTGTGCAAAGGGACAGACAGGGGCCTTTGAAAATTCATTTTCTTTTTGCTTTCTGACATGCAGAATCTGGAGGAAATAGAGATTTACACCAAAACTGGCATGACATGGGGACAGCCTCCTTCCAGGGAGCTGAGAAGCTAAGGGCACAGCAGCAGTGTACAACTATGTATTGCTATCACTGTGAAGAAGTCCAGAAGATTGCATCTCCCTTGTTCATATCAGCAGATAAAATTCAAACAACAAAAGAGATCGAATGGATAAGTTTTTTCTTACCTTCTTCCTCTAAGTGGTGGCCAGTACCATCTTTTAAATCTTCATCCACCCACGGATGAGAGACAGGCTTGCTTTTAGTCTCATGTTTTTCCTTCTCTTTGTTAGTCTTCAGTATTACCCCAATCAAAATACATATAATGGCTATAAAGACTGGGGTTAGGGAAGAAAAGAGTGTCATGACTATGGAAATGTGGAGTCTTCCCTCCAAGTTCAGTAGTTTCATCTGAAAAGGGAAGAGCTTACTTACTTTCAGCAGTAAGCAGAAAGGGGTGGACCCAAGGTTCAGTCCTTGACCCTATCCAGCTTCTATTTTTCAGTCACCACCCCCACAATCTCATCTGTGATGTGCTCTGGCTCTTAAGCAGACCCAGATTTATATATTTTATGGAAAGAAACTGCTAAGAAACAGTAAGCAGAGGCACAGACCATTTATAAATGCATAAATGCTGTAGAGTGCAGTATGAATTAAAAAAAATCTTCCAAAATGCCAAACTAAGGCAAAAGACTTCTCCCCCGTATTTTTATTGTTATGGAGATCCCAGTAACCTTGTGTATAATGATTATGAGAAAGAGCCAAGTGGGAGTGTGACTTTTAAAAACTGATGGGTTCTCTTCAATGTTTAACTCTTAAAATCAGTCATATTGCAGGTATCCCAGGAAATTAGAATATCACCAATCGACTGTCAGCTTACAGCTCCACCCTCGGCTATGTAAACAGGTCAATAAAACAGATCAGTAAAGTGGCAGTGCTACCTCTGTATGAAGCATGAATGAGATGATTCACAGAACCCTGTATTAAACCCGTATGTTCTTGGGGGAAGAAAAAAGAAGAATTCAGGGAGTCAAAGTAAGAAATGTTTGAGGACTGAATATCTAGGCTACACTGAACTTTAAAACTGCAATTCAGCTGTCTTATCAAAGGAAAGATTAGAAAGTGATAGCACCCCAGTCTAATCCAAGAATGGTCAATGTCTAAATGCTTAACCCGTTTTTTACCTCAGCCAGCTGCTTGGGAACTGAACCAGCAGAGCAGCACTGAACTGATGTCTTTATCTGGGATTTTTGGGACACCTGGATGATGAAATGCCAGATGACAGTGGCTGCTGAGGGGTGTGCTGCAGGCAGGCACCAGCACCAAGCTAAGCAACAGCCCTGCCAAGCTTTATCTACGTAAGGCTAACCCTGAAGTCTCCAAATCCATGGCAAGTTAATATGCATTTTGGATAAGACCACCCAAGGTAATTAGGAGCAGTCATGGCTGTAAATATTCCAGGAGAGGGTGTGTCTCAGGGCCTTGGTACATCATGCACTGCAACTGGCACCTGCTAGGGAGCACTGCAGGTCCTGCCTAAGGAACCCCCCATTTCCTTAATGTGGAAACCAGGGCATAGACAGCGGAGAGAATTTGCACAGGTTTCATCTAGACAGATTCAGTCCATACCCTAGCCACTCACATCCCTCACCCCACTGGTTCTGCAGCACTGGACACTCTTACTGGTCCCATTTGACACTGCTGCTCCAAAGGCTCCCATGCCTGAGCAAATGCTACCTTGGGGAAAGGTCTGTGTGTCAGGAAGCACAGATTAATGACCAGGTTGCTGCACAAGAAGAGGGATGTATGGCCACAGTGGCTGGGTGGCACAACAATATATACAGAATAAATATTTCACTGCTCTTGCAGTGCATCCTACAGAGTCCCCAGGTCCTGGTAGATCCTGGTCCTTCCAGGCAATGTGTGAGGATCTGTGTAAGAAGGGTATCCTCAGAACCAGACAAATTCCTGCATAAGTCAATCAGAGATGAAATAAAGAGGATATGCAAAAGCTGTGCTTAAGTATCTAATCTAGTAAAACTGGCAATAAACAGGCACCTCCCTCTGGCTAAGAAGGCGACCTGCTTGAAAATCCAAGCCATGAATCTTCTCGTCCCTACTCTCCAGTCAAGTTGTGACATAGGACATCTGCTTGGATCATTGATCTTGGACTGCACATACAAAAAGCTCCAAAACACATACACTGTACAGGAGTAGAAAGGATGACAATTATCATGTGGGAAAAAGAGTTGAATTTATTCTCTCCTCAATTTACAGCAGATATTTAAACTCATTTATCATGCCTGCTGGCCATCCAGTCATGGGGAGAGATACTTCACCTAATCCCAATTAGAAACATTAAATTTGTTCATGAGTAGAATAGAAACCTGCAGTTTCATCAGACATATTTTCAACAGCCTACTCTATGGCAAGGAAGGAAGAAAGAAAGTGGTCTGAATAGCACTGTCTGTTTCTCCCACAGGGAGTATATTCTTGTTAACCTTGAATATTCACATACACATAAATTAGGATCTGGATGCTTTGCAGCTGAGAATCCATCCTGCAGAGAGACAGGGCTGTGCTGAAAGAGTGAGAGAAGCAATATAGAAGGTTGAATGTTATTGTTTAAAATAACTACCTCTACTTGCAATGCTGGGAACTTTGTAATGTCTCACTTTTCTGGAATAACTGACTTTTTTAGAGGTGATGAGATATTAATTTTTCTTTTGTAGAGCAGAAAAAGAAAACAAGGTAAATTAAAGTCCCTTTGGTATTAACTTAAGCAAAATCTATATTTGGTGTTATATATTCAAGACTGTTACCTTGAACTTCAGCCCCACAGAAATCCCTCAATACCTTGTTTTATTAAAACCTGATTTAGTTTCAATAACTCCATACCACAATCATTCAAAATATAGACACAGTGATGCTCTCAGGAACTGTGGGGAGGAGTGGGTAGAAGCAGTCAATTTTTATATGGTAGATTTTAATCAGTTTTTCTGGGGTTTGGGTTGGGTTTTTTTTTTTTCTTTTCAACCCAAGATTTATAGGAATGTAATTATTATTATCATGAGAAATTCAAGAAGATTTATTACCATTATTCCTTCTGTTCTACTGTAAAACCTAATGCCTAGCAGCTGGATTTTTATTTTTCTATTTCAGAAAACTCAGAAGGAACATTACAAATAACCCTGCTCCTAGGAATTAATGAAGCTTTTCTGACAGAGGTGAAAAGAAGTTAGAAAGTTTTCATAGAAATAGAGCTATTGAGAACACCAAAGTATTTAAGTATTACTGCATGAAATCCATGTAAACACTTAAAAGATGCAGACCATCATACTAAAAGCTTTTGGACCAAAAGTTCTTTCTTCATTATGTCCCATTAAATTCTGTGCATAGTTGTTGTTCTGAAGAAAAAAAATGTCCTCAAGTATCAAATACAGCCCTTTATTTTTCTCATTTATAGGCTACCAGGACATATCTAGATGGTACCATGCAGTGTGTTAGCTCTGCACTAAGATCATGTGAGACTGCTGCTAAGGCTTGGGAGACCAGTTTATGACCTCCTCTGTTTCACCGACCTACCATAGATGGACTGTGTGAAAGCAAAGCCACCTTTCAGCACCAGGCCATGAGCTCTATGTTATGCAGCTTCATCTCTGCTTTGGATATTCCCCACTGATTCTTCCCATCATCCTTATGACCTCAGCATTCCCTCTCATCTTGCTTGGAAGAGTCTTATGGCATTACTGTGAGATTGTCTCATTGCTAGGCTGGGACAAATCTCTAGATGAGTTCTTATGTGCATATGGGATCTAACAGAAGAGTTGCACAGAAGATGTAAATGATAGGAGAGCCTCCATATGCACAAATCATCAGTGAACATATTATCTGTATAGGATGAATGTGAGCTGCATAAATGCACAGAAGTAGAAGGGAAGGCTGTGAATGGCTAGGCAGAGCCAAAATCATCAGCCCCCACAGTTTTTGCTGACACTGTTTTTCTATTAGTACTTTACTGGAGAACTCTTAAGACTTCTTATTGGATGCTGTAGGAAACCAATAATATTTATCTAGACACTTAAACAAGGATTCAAAACTTCTTTTCAGATTGGATTATCAAATGCACAGTATGGTAGTTAAACCACCTAATTTAGGAAGTCTCTGAGACTTGGAAGGGTATATGAAAGGAGGGACCCTTTCATGCAGTCCTTAGCTTTCTTGGGTTTCCTAATTACCTACCTTTGGCCATGTACAGACACAAGCTATAGCACTAGATGGCCTCATGTGGCTAGGACTTGGTATAAGAATTGTTACATTAGTCAAAAGCAGATCTGTGTAAAGGAGAGCAGAAGCAGAAAAAGAAAAATGCTAACAGGGAAGGTACAAAGGATGAAGGAGGTAATTGCAATAAATATAGCACAAGTCTGTGTGAGAAAACACACACTTGGATGCCAACTACTGTCACCATTGCACATCTTCCATGCTGAGCATTATCAGTTACTTACCTACAAGGAGCACATGCACTATTTCTGCTACAGTGCATAAGCCACTGTCAGTGGTAAACCAATACATGGTGGTGAAAGTGTCCACACAGAAAACTTGCTGCATTTATAGTTAGAAGCAGAAAAAAAGTCACCACTGGGTATTGTCTAAAGATGCAATAAAATATTACATTGGCATCAGGGGCAGAAGTGAGTTTCAGACTGGAGTAGGTGTTCATTGAAAAACAAATAAAAGGCTATTCCAATGCCGTCCATGATCAGCCCCCAGCTAAGTATGTATCTGCTATGGGCTAGGTAGAAGCACACATTAACTACTTAATCCAATTTCTCAGTCAACACATAGAGACAAATGTCTGCGATCAGCTGAAACTTATACATCATCAGGTATTGGCATTACTAAAAATACCATTAGCTTGATGAGCATCTTTATCTTGATGATACGTCTAGCACATACCCTCCTGCCTCTCTCAGTGAGCAGCACACGTTGCTGCTGAGCAAGGTGACCCTTGCTTTTCTGCTGTCTCCTGCCTCTTCTGCACTCCATACATACAACTGCTTCCTTCTCTTCTCCCGAGTCAGCTGTATGATCTCTTTGTGACCCCTGGAGATATCAGATATCTTGCCCTGTAGCATTAGATTTGATTATCTTTTTCATTAACTTAGCTCAGATTGCCACCAATGTTATTACTGCTTATGAACTAGCCTTTTGAAATCTAACAGTACAGTGGGTAATACAATTACATCCCATAGCAACGAAAGCATGAGACGATGCACCATGCAGTAGAGCAATTCTTTCCGTTTGCCCTCAATATAACGCCCTTCAGTTGCAAGCTCCTTATATTTATATATTACAGGGCAAAA